TTCTCTTGTTCCCTGACTCAATGTAATATTTGAAAACCCTTCCTGTTGAGAATTGCGATTTACATGAATTGTGTCCTGACTATGGAGCAACCTTTTCGTATTAGCATGGAAAACACTGCTATCGATATGCTGAAGTTAGTCTTATCTAATTAAAATATTTGAATGCTGGAACATATTTATTCATCATGTAGCAGATGACCCAGTTTCCAGCATCAAATATTTTAGCTTGTTCTTCTGTTCTGGTTGCCAGTCCAACTGCCTTCTAGTATGTCATAGTTCTACTTACATATTGCCCTGAGCACCATAAAAAAAACTATTCGAACCATGGTTTCAAGCCTTCTCATTGACCAACTTTGTGCTCTGTTGTTCTTTTGAAGAAAACTAAAAGAGTTAATTGTGGATAGACCCCCTGTGCTATCGCTGAATCATGGATAGACCCCTTGGAGTTCTATTTTGCGGATATACCCTTTGTACTATAGACCAATTGCTAGTAAACTCCTGAGTTTTTTTTTTCTCCCCCCATTCCTTTACCCTCAGGAGGGTTACTTGTCAAAAGATAATTTTTTCCTTCTCTAAAAAGATAACTTTCTCCTTCTCTAAGGGTAAAACAAAAGTTCACTCAGGGGGGTCTATTTGCAAGAATAGAACTATAGGGAGTCTATCCGCAATTAAGCCAAACCAAAGCCACTTTGTTTGGTGACTTAAGTCAAGGACTATCCACCTGACCTGATGATCAGGTGCTTTCTGAATTTGTGGCAAATATGACAGACTTTCAGACATTACCTTGCAATAAATCTGGCTTACAAGGCTGTATAGGGTTTCGGTTTAAAATGTGCATATGTGGATTTAGATATTCAGATAGCTCATAGCTATGATGAGATAGATTCATAGATAATGTAACTTATAAGAAGCAACACTGACGTATTAGAAGCATTGGTTTTGATTACAAGGAAAATTAGACTGAAACAACCTGTGAGGGGATCCATCCTACCTGACACTTATTTTGAAGGTCAGAAGACTTGGAAGTAAATCTAAGTTAGTAGAGCAGAAGCAGATCCTGCTTAGATCTAAAATTTAGGCTTGAAAATGGTTCCAGTTTTGCCATGGCTAGGCTATGTAGAGACCCAGCCTGATCACAATTCTTGCTGGATAAGAAAGATATCAAATCCAGCAATCCCATGACACTATAACAATTTGAATTACTGCAATCAATCATAAGGTACTAATGTCAACTTAGTCTCACACTGTTGTTATTGTGCTACTCTTGACAGAAATAACAGATGACGAATCTGATTATGAAATTGAGTATGAGGTTTTATCTGGAGGTTTAGATGAGCCATGGGAATACGTTGGTGTTTCTCACGATGATATCCCGTCAACTAGCAAGGAGGTCGGATTCAGCGAAGGACAAATCACATTAAGAGACACCCAAGATCTAAAACATGAAATTGTTGGTGATGATAAAGCTAAAGTCGATATCTTAGACTCCAAAGCTAACGTCGGTGCATCAGATTCTCATCCCAATGGAAAAGATCACGAGAAGCACGAAAGTGATATGTCAACCTCTGAAGTTGAAGTACAAGAGAATTCTGGAGTTGATGCCGCGGTTAGTGTTGAACCTGACGAGGATTCTTGCTACGGTCACGAAGATTTGGAGAGGCTGATGTGTGAAATTGGAGGCATGAGAGCCAATTTGAGGTTGATGCCAGATTTCCAGAGGAGAGAAATGGCGGCAAAGCTGGCCATGAAAATGGCTGCTATGTTCGTAGAGTGCAGTGATGAAGATGAAAGTTTAGAATAAGTAGTAGGTTGAAGATGGGGATCCCTTTTCGCATTTCAGCAGTCAATACCTACAAAGAATTGAAGGAGCCAACTTAGTCCTTCAAGTGCCCAACTTGACTAGACATATCAGTCTCCTCACCTTAATATGATTGCTCCGCTGTATAAGTTATTCCATATTGTGTGTCATACAACATGTTGAGCAGCAGTTTTCTAGCTGGTAGCTCAGCGAGCTTTCGTATGAGTTTGTACTAAAGAGGCATTGCTATTTGTTAAATTCATTTCTCTGTATATAACGGGTGATATGTCAATTTTTTGAGGTTGCAGGTGCTGTGTGTGCAGCTTTTTTTATTTTGATTCCAAACTAAACTTGAAAAACAACTGTCCTTGGGGTAGCACTGAGATTTTCTGCTTCTATTATATGAACTTCTACCTTTGTTTTCAAGAGACATTGAGGTGGGCCGAGAGAAGCCCCTTGCTTCAAGACTCTAAACCAGTGAAATGGTAAAAGCGTAGCCTGTATCCCTTTTCTTCCTACTCCTCAGGCCACTGACATTCACAAAGAGTCCCTTGCGGACGTATCCAGCTGGGACAGCCCATGCTATTAAATGTGTACTCGAGGAATATCAATCCTTAGATCATTGGACTTCGTGATTCGAGTAATGATCCAATGATTGATAATCCTTAGGTGCACATTTAATGTCATAGACCGTATTCATTAAACACTTTCTCGTAATTTTAAGTTGTCCTGGTTCAGATAAACTTACTGTTATGATTAAGATAAACTTATTTAATCTCTCTATTCAGAGCCAGAGTTGATATTATCAACATAAATACTAGCTGATAATCTAGATATATGTCACGGAAGCAAGATGACAACTAAAAATGTACGCACGCCACCCTACTTACGCACCCAAATTGTGATAGCCAACAAAAAATGTGGTGTACATACCAACCTCAATTCATGTACTTAATTACTCTTGCCAATTGTGTTTAAGCCAAACTCATGTTCTCAATTCTCAACAAATTAATTCGGGTGGAGTCCATGTCATATCCTTGAAATTAATCTACACCAAAAAGTAACAAGCCAGCTGATGCTCATTACCATACATTTCATCATCGCTGCCAGTCAAAATCTAAGACAAAACTCCTACAACTATGGAAAAAGCAAAGAATACTAAGATTATATTTGTACATACTTTATAAAGCATCCATAGATTAAGACACCAGAGACTCGGAACTAATATTGTTAGAAGATCCAACTTGGCTTCCTCTCTCTGTGATCTTTGTCTGGCTTCTAAAGTGCGCATTAATTTCATAACAAAAGTGCTAATAGACAAATTAATACTTAACCCACAGTGTGCAAGCTTACATACAAGAAAAACTTTTTGTAACGGTTCGACCAAATGATTATATTAGCATTAGCATTTTATGCTTGGAAGATACTAGGAATCTTCCTAAGTTGGTCAGGTTAGGTTTCATGTTGCAATCTGTGGTAGGTATCATCTGCCAAAAATCTTAATATTTCCTTTTTATATATGATGATATAAGATAACTTCAATAATTTCCTCATGTTAAGTGAGACGTACGAGAGTCTTATTTTATTGTGTAATTCTACAAACCCCGCTTGAACTTTAGGGGATTTTACAAAATGATCTTATAAATTAACTAGAGAAAACTTTCCCGGAATCTCAAATTGTACAAAATCTCGAGAACTGTTGAAATTTATCACAAACAAGGTTAGCGCGATGGATAGAGTCTAAATTGTCATTTTTAATATCTATCAATCCTAACAAAAAAAGAAAAATACTCCCTCTAAGCAAAAGCGGCAAATATAAATAAGGGTGAAATTATCCAAAATATGTTATCTGACAACGTCTTAAACTAATTGCTTAGGGGAGTTTTCTCTAATTTATAAAGTTCAGGGGGTTCTGCGTAAAACACCCGATATTCAATGGTTTTTAAAACCTTTCCTAATTTAATTAACTAGAAAGTAAATGATAAAACTTTAAAAAATAATTCAAGAGCATATGATCTAAATAGATCTATTTGAAAATAGATACCTACTTATTTCGTCTCTTCAGTAATAAGAGAGCAGAAAAATTTTGAATATGTTGCAGGTTGAGTTGCTCAGAGCTGTACAAATAGGTGGAAAAAGAATTAGAATTGAGTTTTTTATAGTTCCATGCTAGAAAATGTCGACGTGTTTAAGCAAAGGAATTAGTATATACTTAATCTAGTTATTGGAGGTCAGTATATTCTCCAGAATATTTCCTCTCTTGATGAACTTTATTAGTGTTTCTACTTCTTGCTTGCTTGCTTGTTCATTTGTACACTAAACTAGTGCATTGTCCCTTCGACTCCATTAATTTTTAGCCCTTTGTTTGTGTATACTTAGTACTAATGATTCTTGTTTAGTGAAATATTAATGCTTATCTTGTTTCTGATTTGGTCTTTGTCGGCCTTTTCCACTAACCTCCTATCTCCCTCTAACAACTGTTAACCTTTTCTTCCCAACTTTTGTGGGAAAAAGTTTAGAAGGAAGCATGCCGACAAGCTTGTAGTTGGCTTATTTTTGGCACGTTTTAACTGCCAGCTTGAAGTTGGAACCTGCTTACTGTTTTTGTTATCAGAGGAACTACATTTGAAAAATTAAAAAAAAAATTCCTGTCTATATGAAAAATTATATAGAAAAGAAGGGAGAAGTTATTTCTGTCTCAGTATAAATTTTAAAGCCGATGATTGCACATATACAATATTATGATCATATTAATATAACACTCACATTGATATTTATACCCATTGAAGGTGAAGCATATTTTCTCCTTCCTTTCTATATATGACATTCTACCGATCCTCTACATGATCCTTTTTATGATTTAAGTAGGAGAGTGTGGTCGTACGAAGAAAAAAAAAACAGAAGAGAAAAACAAACAGAGAGAAAAATTGCACACACACAAGATTTACCAAGGTTCAGCTCAATTTGAGCCTACGTCCTCACCTGCCACTTCTTCACCGTTTCCACTATAATCAAATGAAAGCTTACAAATGGTCTTCTCGATCTCAAATTGATTAATCAAAATGAAAGAGGGGGAAAATGTAAATTGAAGAACATAAAAAAAATACACGTGTGTCCCCCCTATCCCGCCGCAATATGCTCCAACAACCTGCCTTAAGAAAAAAAAATACTCCCCTCGCGACAAGAGATTATTGGTAAATTATACTAAGCCCCCGTGAATGTTTACTATTTTGTCACAAAACCCCCCAAAAACTTTCAAAATTACACTGAACCCCAATAACTTATTGAATTGCAGAAAAATACATAAACTTTCTAAGTTTTGTAAATAACCCCATAAATTAGAGCCAAAAGACAACATAAAAAGGCATCTTGAAAGTTAATGGGGGTTTAGTATAATTTATATAAAAGTTCGTAAAGATTTTTTGCAAAAAAGTTTTAGGGGTTCAGTGTGATATTAAAAGTTTATTAGCGTTTAGTGTAATTTGCCTAAAAAAATATTTAGAAAATACTTTTTATCCAAATTTTCATAACATGCACAGGTTCGTGTTTAAATTAATATTCTACTTATATATATATAGTATATATTACGCGGTACCCGATCAAAATTTTATATAACGTATAGCGTACTACCTTATACGTACCGTGCGCGACTTAATGGTCACTTTGTCAATCAGGAGGGGGATTTCCTCCTATTGGACGCCCCTCTAAAATTTCACATGATTAAAGCGACATTCCGTGTTCGATATCGCGGCTCCGTTGAACTTGATGCCGTACATAGCTTTAAAAGCCCCCAACACACACCCAAGGTTTGGGGTGAATTCGTCCGTCGTTCTGACGCCCTCTCATTGCAGCAATGTGAAAAGTTAGGTCATTCAATTCCAAAACCCGTTTAAAAATTGATACGAGTGGGATGAAGGGTCAAACGACGACCCGGGCTTCCAACCGCCCAAACTTGGTGTGTTGGAGGTTTGTAAGAATATGTAAGATCCAAAGTTTAACCGCAGCGGATCATCCCACAATCGTCGCTCAGGCCAGCGTGATTAATTAGAGCCCGTCTGAGGAGAATCCCCTGATATATATATAACTTATATATATATCACCTACTTATATATGATCACTAAGCTTACTTGTAGCTACTCATACCTATATATACTATAGTAATATAACTTATATATATATATATTATATGAGTATTAATGGGTATCATTGTCCATCAGGAGGAGGAGGGGGATTTCCTCCCTAATGACCCGCTCTAAAAATCCATGATTAGACGCGAACATTCAGTGGACTGATGGCGGCTCGTTGAACCGCCTTGATGCTACATATTTCTAAAACCCCAACACACTACCAAAGTTTTGGGTGAATCCGTGCCGTCGTTATGACCCCTCCCATCGAGCCACTGTGAATAAGTTCTAATTCATGTCAAAACCGTTTAGACATTGATAACGATGGACTGAAGGGTCAGAACGATTGACGCGGTTCACCCCAAAACTTGGTGTGTACGGGTTTCTAGATATGTAGATCAAGTTGCAAGCGGAGCCGGATCATGCCCGCAATAATGTCGCTCCCATCACGTGATTTTAGAGACGTATAAGGAGGCAAATCCCTCGTGTGTATATCCTACTTCACCACACAATCTTGTGATGAGGTCTGCCCTCCTTTACATACAAGTACGGGAAATCGTACTCGCATACCCCTTAATAACTTATTTACCAGAAGGTAAAATGAGCATCCTCACCATAACCATTATTTCTTCTTTATGTTTATTATATTTATTTGTTTTATATGTCAAACTCTAAAATTTATGGTTGTGAGTTAAGATTATGAATATCGGATTATCATTTAATATCAAATTACTTGACTTTGTCATCTGCACTCTATCAGCAGAATACAAATTCTACAATCAAATGAAAGCGCTTTTCAATTTGAAAAAAAGGGTTTTCTATATATTGGTCCCTTTGGTCTTCGCTAATTGCATATTTATATTGGTCACTCGTATCTTAATATTCCACATTAGTCCCTCAAATCTTAAATACTGCAGAGTCACCATTAAAAATTTTAGTCTTGCAAAATGATTTCTCTATTAGTTTTTCAGTTAAAAAAATCTAACTCAACTTCGAGTTAGAATTTTTTTTTTCTAAGCATTAGAAATCAATACTACCGTCAAATCTTACTGTGGGAAACAAAGTGATCATTTTACTCCTTTTCTATATTTTCCCAAAACTCATTTCCTAATAGATTTAAAACCCAATATTTACTTAAAAAGAACTCAAAGACATGTATTAATCAAAAAGACTATTTTATAGG